TTGGATGACTCGGCTGCCTTCGGCCTAGAAACGCAACCTGGCACACCCTTGCAGCCTTGCGTGCATTACCATTCGGGCGGCCGTATGTAAACTCAAATCTGCCTTCTCATGATATAAATATCCTTCTTCTCAGGTAAGTCAGAACTCCATGCGTTAAACGTTGAAGAGAGACAACCTAAACTGTACACAGATAACATATGTAAACTTTCTTTAAACATAATCACTTAAATACGAGGGATTTGTGGACATATGTTTATATGCACTTTTGGTTTTCTTTTGGTGTGAGGGACCCGTCCCCAACTTCGTAAAATTATTTTTGCTACACCTGTATATATATATATATATATATATATATATATATATATATAAAGAACTTGGTAATCCGTAGAACTTGGTAATCCCAAGGAGGATGAAATCCTGAAAGCTCAATGTAAATCCAGAGCTAATATTTAAAAAGAATTTTATATATATATAACATTGAGCACTCTTTTGTAAAATAAAATAAAAAAATAACAAGAACAACGGATTATATATCTTACTGTTCTTTCTTTCTTTCTTTCCATATATATATATATATATATATATATATATATATATATATATATATATATATATATATATATATATATATATATGTGTATGTGTGTGTGTGTGTGTGTGTGTGTGTGTGTGAAGCCATCTTTCTTTCATACATGTTTCGTTGAATGTCATATTCAAAAGAAAATTTGATGCATTTTCTGTGTTTTTTGTATTCTTAAATTTTTTCCACGAAGAAAAACTCTCGGCCACTTCTTAACCCATTTTTAAGGGATTGGTTGTTAAGGTAGACACCATGAACAACAGTCACCACTGACAATTACAAACTCCACAAATCCTTAAAATTTCCACACCGACGATCGCACTTCTAACATCAACAACACAAAATTCATAATCCTAAACTCGAAAACTGTATCTATTTAAAAAATATATTACTTATCCCCAACTCTAGGGTATTTACCATCACAAGACTATCGGGCATATAAATAGAAAGAAAAATACATTCAAAACTTGTTCCGAAGCCGAGATTTATCAAATAAAACGCTTATAATGTGGATACGCATATAATGGCGAGACGTCTCAGAATCTAAAATCCCGCATCTATGAAACCAAGAGAGAAAAACGTTGAGACAACCAATTAAACTCATTTGTAATACACAGGAAGAAGACTGGTCATAACTTTGCCAAATGCCAGTTTAATTAAAAAAAGAACATAATTGTTTACGTCGAAAATAATTCGAGGCAGTCCTGGTAAAAATATAACCAACTATAAACACTCGTCAAAAACAGTATATTACATCACCAAGCTTTATTTAACTCATTCTTAAAGAATGTAAATTATATTTAACTACCACACTGGTGCCTATTAGACTCCCGACACGCGCGTGCGCACACACACACACACACATGCATATATAAATTATCATCCGAATCCCGCATACACAAACTATAATTATGACACAGTTACACACATATATTATACACACGGACACTGCCAAGTAAAATGCACTCGAAGTCTGCCTAACTAATAAAAAATATCACAAAATATAAATACTGAATTTTTTTATATCTCAGATGAGGCTTTTATAAAAGCGAAATATGTTAAATTTATAAACGTTTATTTGTCATTTATCCTATCCAATTCTAGCCTATCATTCATATATATATATATATATATATATATATATATATATATATATATAGATATAGATAGATAGATAGATAGATAGATAGATAGATAGACAGATTTCCGATTTCTTTTTGAATTTGTAATTCTGATGAATTGGATCGTGATTACGATTCCAATGTAATAAATTATAACCATGGAATATTAGTGTTTCAGCCTGTTATATATATATATATATATATATATATATATATATATATATATATATATGTATGGTCAGGAAAAAAATTCATTTAAATTATATTTGTACATTTCGCCGATAAAGTATCCTTGACTAATTTTTATTTTATACTATCAATTTTCGAACAAGTTGTGGCACATCAACTAACACGTTACACATTTGAAGTGTAACATCTTAAATGTGCCAATGAATGTTTATTATGTCTGATCATGAATCGTTCTAAACTTTGTATGGCTGCTTTAATTTCGGGGGAAAATAAAAGTAAAATTGTCCAACATTTGGATATTGTTTATTAAGTTGGTCCTTGATCTAAGCTTTCGGCTCACATGAGCCATCTTCAAAGTGGTTATTTGGACATTTTAACAAAGATATTCACCATCGAAGATAATATTTTATGTTGTCATAGAAGATTGCTATGCGACGATAAAAGTCGCGGAATAGCAGAAGCTGTTCATAAGTTCAAGATGCGGTTCTATGACGTCATACCATGCGATAGGCCGAGATATTAACAACAGAACCATATGTTTAGATGCAATGTAATGTGTTGTGACTAGTTTGAAATGTAATTTTGTTTAGTATGGGTTGCTTCGTTTTAATGTAGATGGCCTCCAATATTTGAAGGTTCTTTTTACTGTGTGTATGTGTGAGTATTATTGTGTTAGCATCTAATATTATGTACGTGACTATGTTTTTCTAAGAAATGTTGTTTAATAAAACTAAGATCAGAAAGGTGACAGGTAAGTCTACGGGAGAGCGTGGTTGTAGTAAAACCAATATATATAGTGGGTTTATTATTAGTATCAGAGATAAATCTCTGAACGGGCATGTAAATTGATACATTACATTGGTTTTTGTAGATGATTTAGTTGTGTTGCTGTAGGGTCATTGGAGACTATGAGGTCAATTGTTTTAAATGTTTTATAATATATGATGAGCTTAACTTGTTTATTATTATTAATGGATTTAACATTTCTATCTTCTATATTTACGTTTTTGAGTGTTGTTTCCTGCTTATAATTATTATGCATTTGGTTACTATATTAGAAGATAATTTTTATGTTTATTTTGATGTACACTATTATTATTAATATTGTTAGAGGTATTATTAATATTCATAGAGGTATTATTATCAATTTTGTTAGAGGTATTATTAATATTCATAAAGGTATTATTATCAATTTTGTAAGAGGTATTATTAAGTTTATTGAGATACATTTTAATTTGTTGATCAATGACGGAATTAAGAAATCTATTATTAACAAGTGTTTGTTTAATGTTATATAATTCTTTATAGAATATGGTTTTGGAAGAAGATATTATTTGTGCGTCTTGGATTAATTTTTTTTTATCACGTCTAACTTATATCGTTGGGGGCATTCGCTATTATAATTAAGAAGACACCAGTTAATGCTAGTGGGTTTCTTATATAGAGAAGTAATAAATTTATGTGTACTGGAATCAATAAATACATCAAGGAATGGAATTTTATTAATAATGTTAAGTTTTAATGTAGATTTAAGGAAGGAGTGAATTTCAAATTTGTTTTTAAGTTGTGTAATTTGATCAATATTTTTAGTTAAAACGAAAATGTCATTTATCTTACATATATCAAGGGTTTATTAGTATCATCAAGTACCATATGTGCCATATAATAATTAGAAAAAAAGGCACATGTGAGCCGAATGCTTAGATCAAGGACTAACTAAATGTTGACAATTTTTACTTTATTTTCACCTGAAATTAAAGCAAACATAGGAACATGAGAACAACTCATGATCAGACATAAAAACATTCATTGTCTGCTATATTTAACAATGTCTGTTTATATATTAGGTTGGTGCAAAAAATAATGACGTAGTAATGTCGTTTTTGACGTATTTTTAACGTCAAAAAACGACATTATTCCGTCATTATTTTTGCACCAACCCATATATATATATATATATATATATATATATATATATATATATATATATATATATATATATATATATATGTGTGTGTGTGTGTGTGTGTGTATATATATATATATATATATACAAATATGGTAGATTTTATAACCATATATATATATATATATATATATATATATATATATATATATGCTTCATTGATCTATATCAGTATAGAGCCTTCTCAGATATTAATCATTTCCTGATGATCGCTTAACGAGTGAATCGACATGTTGATTTCTGTATCCGCAATGTTTATTTCTCTTTCTTTTCTCTTTATCTCTCTCTCACACACACACATGTACACACACATATGTACACACACACACACACATATATATATATATATATATATATATGTGTGTGTGTGAGTGAGTGAAAGAGAAAGAAAAGAGATATTCAGACAAAGAACTGGAGAAATTTTGGCTTATCGCATTCTTACAAGGAAAAACAATTGTATCTGCCTTTATTGAAAGTTAGTCTTCCAAATCTTAGTTTAAACTGAACATGTATTCTGATTAAAAGAAAATGGACTACGTCGGACTAATGTCTTTTCTACTGTCATGGAGGTCATAGCAGATAACTACCTCGATATCTAGATTCAAATATAGACATGGAGTTTGGATATACGTTTATACACGTCTATAATCGCTTACACAAAGGCAACCATCTATTTTCTCCTGTTTTGGGAATCAGTTGCTCATCTGAATCGTTTTTTTTTTTTCCAGTATTTTCTGCTTTCCTTCTTGAACGACGCCATGTTACCGTTCAGGTTGCTTAGCGTGTTTTATCTTCTTTTATATTTACTTTTTCTACACTGGTTTCTTGCATCGTTCTTCCATTCATTTTTATATATGTTTCTATTATTTTCTTTCTCGTTTCGCAGGTTTGGATAGTTTTATTTGTTCTGTTTCACTTTTTCCTTTCATTTTCTTCCTGTTGTACTGTCTAATCTATTTTCTCTACCCTACCCCCTAATATCTCTTTTAAGTTCAAAGAGACAGTGAAAATCTCACTTGATGTCTCTTGCCAAAGGAAGGCAGTTGAGTCATGGACGCAAAGTCGAAATGCAAATGGAATTGGTTTGAAAATGAGATTGAATGAAGAGTGTGGCTATGGAGGTGGGAAATAATAGGAAGAAAAATTAAGAAGTATTGCAAAGATGTAAAAAGAAAGAAAGATAAAAGAGTAAAAGGAAGAAAGCAAGAAAGAATGACACTTTGCAATAAATAAAGTGTAGTAGGAAGGAGGAAACTAATAAAAATAACATAAGAAAGAAAGAAAGGAAGAAAGAAAGGAAGGAAGAAAGAAAGAAAGAAACTGTGGAAGCATAAATATGAGGAAATAAATAAATTGTATTAAAGCGAGGCTGAAACAAAAAATATAAATAGATAAATAAAGAAAGGAAGAAAAAGAAAACGTAAATGGAAAAGAAAGATAGGAAAATTAAGATGTATTGAGATGAAGAAAAAGAAAGAAAGATAAAAGAGTGAAAAGAGAAAAGAAAAAGAATCGTACAAAAGAAAAAATATATAGTGTGTAGTACAGAGAGAATTAATAGAAGAAAGAAAGAAAGAAAGCAAAAGAAAGAAAGAAAACGTAAGAAAAAAGTAAGAAAGTGAAAGAAAGATAGCGAAAGAAAGAAAGAAAGAAAGAAGTAAGAAAAATGTAAGAAAGAGAAAGAAAGATAGCGAAAGAAAGAAAGAAGTAAAGTAAAAGGCAATAAAGAAAGAAGAAAGAAAGAAGGAAAGAAAAATCAAAGGAAAAAGAAAGAATAAAGAAAGTAAGAAAAAGAAAGAAAGCAATAACAAAGAAAGAAATGGCAATCGTGTAAACAGAATGAAATGTGATAAAATGGTGAACAAATAAATAAAAGGTAAAATGGTAAATAAATAAGTAAAAAAAAATAAGAACAAACAAAATGTAAATCGGTAGGAAAGAAAGGAAAGAGGAAAATGTATGGAAAACAAAAGCAAATGGAAAGAAGCGAGGATAACAGGTGACACAACAAACAAAAATCTTCTAAATTTAAATGTAAAAACTTAAAGGAAAGAAGTGAAAAGAGGAAACAAAGAATGAGAAATTAGAGAAAAGGATAGAGAAGGAGAAAAAAGAAAAGACGATGAAAGAAAACAAAAACCAAGAAAGCAAACAAAAAAAAAAGAAGTGAAATGAAAAGGAAAAGAAGGAAGATGAAAAGAAGGAAGACGAAATAAAGAAGAAAAGAGAAACCAGAGAAATAAAAAAAAAGGTGACTGAAGCGTGAAAAGGATACAATGATAAAAAAAGAAAAGATATCGAAGAAAGAATAAACGAAGAAAGAAAGAAAAGTAGAAAAAGAAAGAAGAGAAATTAAGGAAGAAAGAAAAATGACGAAAGCATAGAGAAGTTGACACAGAAAAAAAGAGATAGTAGAGCGGAAAGGATGAAAAGAAAAAAAAGAAGAAAACAGTGAAGAAAGGAAAAGACGGAAAACAAAGAAGATGGAAATGACAAAAGAAGAAAAAATGGAAGAAAGAAAAGAATGAACACTGAGGCTAAAGGGAAAAAAAGAAGAAGAGAAATGAATAAACAAAATGAAAAAGGCATGAAAGACAGGAAAGACGTAGAAAGAAAGAAAAAGCCACTAAATAAAGATGTCGGAAGAAAACAACAGTAAGAAGGAAGAGATAATGCAAAGAAATATAAAGATAATAACAAAGATGAAGAAGAAAGGGAAGAAACATGGTAATGGAGGCGAAGATTAAATTAAAGAGAAAGTAGAATAAATCATTTGTATAAAAAAAAGAAAATATGGCAAGATGTTAAGAAAGAAGAAAACTAGAACACCCCCTACCAATAAAAAAAAAAAAGTAAAAAACGGATAATGGCTGGATTGCATGAAAGAAGATGAAAAGAAAATAGTGACTGCTGAAACGACAATTATAATGAAAGAACATGCAGAGCTGACGAATTAGAAAAAAAAAAAAAAAAAAAAATGAAGACGTCGAAAGAACAAAAGATGAATCCCAAAAATTCAAATAGTAAAATTGAAATGACATTCAGAGGACCATTATTTTAATTTCACAAAAAAGAACTCCCCTCTGAAATGACGTCAACTTATTCACAGACGTTGATGCTCAACTATTGAAAGTTGGACGCATGCGCAAAGAAAATGAGATAGTCGAGAACAATCTTCAACGTAAGTATACATAGGTAATAAAACATACACATAGTTCAGATCTTTTGCGCATATACATGGGTGCAAACGTTCATGATGAGATACAATATCAAGCATAGATAAAAACATATTGACACAAACTCAGACACAATTGCCAAAATTTGATATGAAATATCAACATATATATGAAGTTTGTTTCCGTCCTGTCACCGAAGTTAAGCAGCGTGGATCGTGGTCAGTACTTGGAGAGGAGGACAAATTACAAACACTCGGTACTGTAAGTAACCAAACACAGAAATCATATATTTGTGACATGATTCGGGTATGAAAGAAATGGACATTCTCCTATTATCTTGATTTGTTCTTGTTATTGGAGCAAGATTTTTTTGTGCTTTGAGTCTGCATAGTGTTGAGCAAACTATAAAAAACCTATCAACAGTCGACAGGGTAACCACTGGGTTTCCGGTGGCTGAGGGCAGCACCAACACCACACCCGCAGCCATCAGTGTGGTAGCTCTCCTTATGCAGCGAGTGCAATCATATATACAGAAACATTAAAGTAACTTATATTTACAAAGGTAGAGAATAAATACAAAACCGTGTAATTACATAAATGTATACACATATAATGTCATTTATAATAGATATATATAAGAATAAGCATACGCTGTCTGTCTGTCTGTCTATCTCTCTCTCTCTCTCTCTCTATATATATATATATATATATATATATATATATATATATATATATACACATGCTTATATCTGTTGTAGGGTATGCATATATATATATATATGTGTGTATGTGTGTGTATACGCAAGTATAGGATTCATGTATACGGAATAAATTCCAACAACCAACAAATGCTATTCTTAAAAGAGTGCTCAATAGATAGACCCAATAAAATGTTCCCCATTTTAAAAATTATACAAGGTTGGTTTGGCACAAAAAGATCTTACATATATATATATATATATATATATATATATATATATATGTGTGTGTGTGTGTGTGTGTGTGTGTGTGTGTGTGTGTGCGCACGAAGGAATGCTGAAATGTTCCTTCAATTCCACTACCTTAAATCTGGCTCGAATGTCCAAAATTTTTTTAACTATGGCCATAAACTTTATATCATTCTCAAATATACAGGGTGCGATGGATAAATTGTCGTCTAAATTAACGTGGAAATGAAAATAACACGGACATTTTACCATTTTACTAGAAATATTTACCAAAATTACACCAAAATATATTGAAATACTAAAGAGTAAATTTCTTCAATAAAATCACCATTAGCTTCAGCGTTTAAGTTGGTGAATGTTGCCACAATGCTTGCCTTCAGTTCATCCTTGGTGATATAAGGAGTTTTGTTGTTCAAGGGTTTGCAATCTGGGGAGTTATTTGGCCAGATATAAACGATGATGTGGTGGCAGAAATTGTTTGACAGCTATGACTGGGTTCTCTTGATTGTGTGGCATGGTACAATCATGGTACAGTCATAGGGACTTTCAGTAGCCACCCTCTTGACTCAGGGCAGTATTACCTCCTCAAAGCACTTGATGTAGGTCTCAGTGTTCAATTTGAGGCCCTGTGGCAAAATGAATGGAGGCATAACGTTGCCATCACTAGTGATCACTCCAACCACCTTCATAATCACCATTAGACTCATCCAACTCATTCCTAATTCTCTGCATTGTCCTCAGATTGACACTTAACGCTATGAAACGTTGGTATGAGAGCTTCTGGCGCGAATGTCAAGCAGTATAGCATACAGTCTAAATTTCTAGCGAAGTGAATTGTGTCATGGTACTCTTTTTCTCACAGACGGTACCTAACTGACCTTACTATACTGTGCAGTTGACAAAATAAAAAATAATCAGTGCGCATGCGCGAAATTAAAAATATAAAATGGCAATAATTTAACCATCACAACTTGTATATATAAGATTTTTCGAATGATCAGACCGGTAGACGAAATAAAATACTGTTTATAATAAACGGAGCGTTTATTCAAATGTGGGTATCTACTAAAAAATAACTTTTAAGTAATAAAAATATGTTGGATTAATAAATATAATATAGTTATTCCTTAGAAAAAATATTTTCAATGATTGATAGGTATTTTACGGCTTATCAACCCTTTATATTTTTAGATTTAGACATTTTGAAGATAATAATGATTACTGATAAAAGCCCTATTAATTAACCCATAAATGTGGGGGGAGAATAGGTCAATTCAAACTTGTTCCGAAGGTGTTTGCGCTACATATGACATCAACCACTCATCCAAGCTTACTGCAACTGGTATTCCCAAAGAGTCACCGATCAAGGTATTGACCAGGCTCGAAGCTGCTTAACTTTGATGATCATACGAGAACCACTATTTCAATGTGATATGGCCGTAAGACATGTGTATATTAGAGAAAATGCACACTAAAAAATGTTTATAAAATAAACCAATATATATATATATATATATATATATATATATATATATATATATATATATAATAAAGATAATAAATCCGCCGGTATATAATCGAAGTGGATCCTAGTAATATGAAACATTAAAACTGATTCTCAAAAAAAGCTCAATATATTTATTATTACAGAGCAAAATTAATACACAATAAAATCCAAAAATCACAACATATTGGGATAAGCTTATTTCAACCGACGAAAGTATAATTCGTCAGTTCCACCAACTCCGTATAGAATTAAGTGATTTTGGATTTTGGTGTATTTTAATATATATATATATATATATATATATATATATATATATATGTGTGTGTGTGTGTGTGTGTGTGTGTGTGTGTGTGTGTGTGTGTGTGTGTGTGTGTGTGTGTATGAATAAAAAAATGCTTATGTTTAGCACGTAATTTAAAATTTCAGACATATTTACATCAAGATTTACCTGGGCACACGCGCATACATAACTAAATCGACACACACACATGAACACACGAACACACACACACACACACACACATATATATATATATATATATGTATGTACGTATGATAATTTATGCGTCACACTAGCTATGGTGTAGCAATGTGTTGTCACAATCAATTCAAATAAACCCGTTTGTCTTCGGACACATCTTCCTATATATTATATCATTATATACTTGAAATTCTATATATAATATACATATATGTATGGGATTTTTTATTACCCTCAAAATACATATGCATGTGTATATACATATGTATATATATAAGATACGTACACGCATACATATACGGAAATTTGGTGAAAGACTAACGAAATTCTTTGTTCACGATATTTAATTTTTTCTATATTTCTCGCTTTATTTATGTCTTTAAGCGACATGTTCATTTTATTACACACAGGCATACACACATCTATATACATAGATATAACTAGTGAGGTTTGCTTCTATTTATGCTTGAATATATAGATACACATATATGTGTGTGTGCATATGTCTATATGGAAAAACAAGGAGATGAAATTATACATATACATACGCGAGTGTGGGCACCTCGGCCTGGTATCATGATTAGTAAGGTTGTTTTGCTCAAATGGTTACGATTGAATAGTGAGTTCGATTCTCACTGGGCGCCCCATACTTTCGGCATTATGCCATGGCTATGCTACGCTTAAAAAATCAATAGGGACACCTCGAGGCAGAGTTATGTTTAGCAAGTTTGTCTCGCTAGAACAATTACGACTGATTAGTGAGTTCGATCCTCACTGGGTGCCCCATACTTTCGTCCTTGTGACACATCAAATATCCCTCCACGCAAGCGTGGTAATATATATATATATATATATATATATATATATATATATATATATATATATATATATATATATATATATATATATATATATATATATATATATATATATATATATATGACGTCTTTAATGCATATTGAGCTAAAATATAAACATTATCTAATTTATATGTTATTATAGTTAAATAAATACATTCATATATATGTCTGAACATACCCATCTATATCTGTATGTATCTATATCACACTCTATATGTATTTGTGCGTCCGTGTATGCTGGTGTGCTTAGAGCAATTTTGAAATATTTCATCTGCAATATGCAGATTTTTCTTTTGTGAAAGAAGAAAAAAAATTGGAATTTTTTTTTATCCCTCACATACTTAGGCGTCAGAAACACCAGGAAAGGCAAGCCATATAAATAAATAACTAGCATTAAAGTAAAAATAAGCAAAAGAAAATAAAGAAAAGAACTAAAGAAATGAATAAATAAGATTAATTTACCATTACACAACTGCCGACTTCTATCCACTCATCTCAGCCAAGTAAATTTTTTGTATATACCCAACCACAGTTAAATACAGACACGCATTTATAATTATATTTTCATTAGCACGCCCATACAGGCGCACTGCACTCCACCCCCCATATATATATATATATATATATATATATATATATATATATATATATATATGTATCTCTATCTCTCTCTCTCTCTCTCTCTATATATATATATATATATATATATATATATATATATATATTCTAATAATATAAATTCTATAAAAAGAATG